TTTTACAGATGTTTAATTTGAAAGGATAAGCATATTATTTGCACAACTTGCCTCCACTCCCATCTATTGTATAGGAAGAAATGGCACTGTGAAACTGTATTAACAGTGAACCCTATTTGAGGATTGAGCCAGAATAATTTACATTGCAACCCTATGCATGACAACTCAGAAGCCAGTGACCATAGGATTTCAGCCTTGCTGTTTTAAAACTGCAGAACAGCTGGAAATGGAGCCTACAGATCCCCCCCCTTTTAAAACCTATTTTCATTATCTATGCAACTGTGCCATATGCACTGGGGGTGGGGGAACCTGGCATATCTTGCTAAAGGGTTTTAATTTTCAAAATGGACACGGCATGCTATATGCAGTTGTCTCCAAAGAAAAAGATGGAGGCAATTCATCTGTTGACTTTGGATTTTCACATCTCATATATTTTATTTAAAGAAGCGTGTTTGCAGACTTGATTTGGAGAACCTAAGTGGCAGGGAACTAAGGGAACGCCTTGGTTTCCACCAGGTGCAGCGGAACGCGGGAGATTTCAGCTTCCACTGGCTATCTGATCTATTGCTCCATTCTGGCCTTGCGGGCAGGAAGCATTTCCCGGTATCCCCTTGAACCCGCGGCCAGCCTTTTCAACATTCAAGCCGATATCTGGCTTACTAAACAGCCGCGAGCGACGAAAGGTTCGCCTTCTCCCTATTTGGTTCGCCCGCCCCGCCATTCATTCTTTATAGCTGAAATCCAGAGCTGAAATCGCACCAGGCGCACACTTTTATTGGGGGGTGGGGTGTACTTAGGTCCCACTGAAACCAGCGGGGCTTAACTTTTACCATGGCAGGGATCAGAACCCAATAGGTCCCCCCCCCCCGAATGTGGACCCATTGCCCCAATCTGTACAGTATTATCTAGACGCGTCAACTCGCGTGTGCGCGCGTACACACGATACTGAAACTGTGCTTATGTGACCTACGCAGCCCCGTGCCCATTGACACCCCCAATGCGACCCACAGAGAAACAACTGTTATTTATTCTGGTGGGGGGCTGAGGGGGGCACTGGCTGGTCCCCGTGCCTCTTCTGAGTAGGTTCCCGGCGGGAAACGCGGCCCGACCGTGAGGTAATGCGCGCGAGGGCGGACGGGGGGGCGGGAAAGGAGCGCAAGGAAGAGAGACGCGCAAGGGGGTCCCACTCGCGCCTGCGCCCTTCCCGCCTTCCCCACCGCCGGCGCCGCCGCGGCTGCTACCCTGACTGGGCAATCTTTCCCGGCATGCCCCGCGTGGCGCATGGGCAGTGCGGGGCCTTTCCAGCGAGAGGGGGGGCGGCTCTGCTAATTCCATTGTGGAGCGGAGACGGCGATATTTTTAACTGGAGGCGGCGGAGAAAGCGGCGGCGAGGCTGGGCCGGGTGGGGCCGAGCGGCGGACGCGAAGGAGAAGAAGAAGAAGGATGCTCCGGGCGGCGAGCGGGCGCTGAGGAGCGGCGGCGAGGGAGAGAGAGGGCCGGGCCGGCCAGCCGGGCAGCCGGGTGAGTGACTGCAAAGCGAGCGGGGTCTTGCGGCAAGAGCCGCCCCAGAGGGCCGCGCCTCCCCTTCGTCGCCTTCGCCCTCTTTTCCTCCTCCGCTGCTCCTTTTTCCCGGCCCCGAGGGGGACATGAAGCTCGGCAGCGGCTTCCTGGGAGGCGGCGGCGGTGGCTCTTCTTCTTCCTCCTCCTCCTCCAAGAGGGCGGCGATGGAGCCCACCTTCCCCCCCAGCATGGTCATGTTCAACCACCGCCTGCCGCCCGTCACCAGCTTCACCCGGCCCGCCGCGCCCCCGCAGCATTGCGGGCTGGCTTTGGCCTCCGCCTCGTCCGCCAACTCATCGTCCTCGTCCGCCGCCTCGTCGTCGTCGTCGTCTTCCTCCTCCTCCTCTTCCACAGCGACCACCGTAACTGCCGCCGAGCCCCCCGCCCCACCGCCGCCGCCTCCTCCTCCTCCTCACCCTCAGGGCATGACTTTCAAGAAAGAGCCGGCGGGGGGCTTCCCTCTCACGGCCTCCTCGTCGTCGTCCCAGCGGGGCTCCTGGGGCTTCTTCCACTCGCTCATGAATATCAAGCAGGAGAAGCCCAGCGACCAGGAGGAAGAGGAGCAGCAGCAGCAGCAACAACAACAGCACCACCACCATCACCACCACCACCACTATGGGGGCCTCTTTGGGATAGCCGGGGAAGAGAGGCACCCCAACCTTGTAGGTGGCGGAAGCGGAGTGGAAGGGGCCAGCCAGAGTGTGATCCAAGACCTCAGCCTCTTCCACCACCTGCACCATCACCCCCACAGAGGAGACTTGCTGCTGGGCATCCGAGGTGGCGGTGGCGAGGTGGGTGTTGGTGGCTCCGATGAGCCCAAGCTTGACGCCCAGGCCAGGAAGATGAAGAGGCCAAAGTCGGAATCTCAGGGAATCAAAGCCAAGAGGAAGCCGAGCGTTTCGTCCAAGCCCCTTGCGGCGGGAGATGGAGAAGCTGCCATGCTGTCCCCTAGCCAGAAACCTCATGTCTGTGAGCACTGCAGCGCTGCTTTCAGGAGCTCCTACCACCTGCGCAGGCATGTGCTTATCCATACCGGCGAGAGGCCTTTCCAGTGTAGCCAGTGCAACATGGGTTTCATTCAGAAGTATTTGCTGCAGAGGCACGAAAAGATCCACAGCAGGGAGAAGCCGTTTGGGTGCGACCAGTGCAGTATGAAGTTCATCCAGAAGTATCACATGGAGAGGCACAAGAGGACGCACAGCGGAGAAAAGCCATACAAATGTGAAACCTGCCAGCAGTATTTTTCAAGGACTGATAGACTGTTGAAGCACAGACGTACATGTGGAGAAGCCATAGGGAAAGCAGGTGCTGGAATGGATCCTGGGCCATCAAACCATAGCATGGGCAACTTGTCTATGTTGTCTCAGGGAAATACAGGTTCGTCAAGGAGAAAAAGCAAAGCAAAATGTGTATCCACTGAAAACAAAGAGCATAAGCCTACTCATAAAGTATCTGACTCTCAGATTGCATCTAATATGACCTTGCAGAATTATGCGGTGGAGATTCCTATAGTGTCTTCCAGTGGTGGCTTAATTGGCACTGGGATAGAAGAACTGCAGAAAAAGGTGCCAAAATTAGTCTTTAAAAAAGGAAACAGGAAAGGTACAGACAAGAGTTTTCTTAACTTTGTGTCACCATTACCAGACCTTCTTGGTCAAAAACAGTTGTCTGGAAAACCAAGTGGCTCTCTTGGCATAGTCGCAAATACCAGTGTGGATGCTATTGGCCTCCTTCAAGCTGCAAATAGTAAACCAGGTCAAATAAGTAGCAATTATGACGATGCCATGCAATTTTCAAAGAAAAGAAGATACTTGCAAACTGCCAGCAGTAACAGTGCCTTTTCTATAAATGTTGGGCATATGGCCTCCCAACCGTCTGTAATACAGTCTGCAGGTGTGAGTGTTATGGACAGTGAAACCCCATTATCTCTTATTGATTCATCATCTCTAAATGCTGACATCAAATCTTGCCACGATAAGTCTGGCATTCCTGATGAAGTCTTGCAAAGTCTTTTAGAGCAGTACTCTCACAAATCAGAAGGCCAGAAGGAAGATCCCTTCAGCATTACTGAACAGCGTGTGGACTTACATGCCTCAGGAGAACATACAGAGATGGTTCAAGAGGAGAACTTGAGCCCCAGCTCCCAAACAGCTTCAAATGACAAAGCAAACATGTTGCAAGAATACTCAAAATACCTCCAGCATGCTTTTGAAAGAACAACTAATAGCACTGGTTTTGCTTTTGGACCCAGTTTCCAATTTGTAAGTTTGTCTTCAAGCCTTCATAACCATACTTTGTTTCAAGACAAACAAATATACACTACATCTCCACTTGAGTGTGGTTTCAGCCAATCTGTTACCTCAGTGTTGCCATCTGCATTGTCAAAGCCTCCTTTTGGGATGTTGCTTGGATCTCAGCCAGGTTTTTATTTATCTGCTTTGGAAGCAACACATCAACAGTTGACTCCTTCACAAGAACTAGATGATCTCATAGACTCCCAGAAGAACATAGACACTTCATCAGGCTATCAGTCCACACCTCAAAAATTGAATAGCCAGAAGGAACAAAAAAATCTAGAATCTTCATCAAGCTTTCCACTTCCTTCTCAGGAACTAGCTAACCAGATAGATCCCCAGAAGGACCTAGAGCATCGAGCAACATACCAGATAGAGACCTTTGCACAAGCATTTGGTTCTCAGTTTAAGACGGGCAGCAGGGTGCCAATGACTTTCATTGCTAACTCTAATGGGGAAGTGGACCATAGAGTAAGGACTTCAGTGTCAGATTTCTCAGGGTATACAAATATAATGTCTGATGTAAGTGAGCCATGTAGTACAAGAGTAAAGACCCCAACTAGCCAAAGTTATAGGTAAAGTTCCAAGTATGACTAGGCTTGGGGGTGGTCTTAATGTATTAGTTTTATTTTGATAACACTGCCATTGGAATGTTTCTACACGATCCTAATACAAATAATGTAACACGCCCTTTCAATGCAACTTTTCATATTTAGTTTTTGTTAAAGTAATTTTAGATCAGTTTGTATTATGGTTTTTAAATCAGATTAATAGACTTGATACTTCACTTTTTTGTTGTTGTTCATGTGACAGTGTTTAGCAATCAAACTTACCTATTTAGATTGTCAGGGAATAGCCCAAAAAGTTGAAAATGCAAAAAAGGGAAAAAAGAAAGAAAAAAACACACAAAAAACCTTTGTTCCTAGGATTAAGGTTTATTTTAATTGCTTTACTCTCAGGAAAATGTAATGAAGCAAGGGGATTCTGTGCACTGTTGGTGTATTGGAGTTTCCAATTTACAAATAAGTGGCAAATCTACTTCACCATTTAACAAAGGGATTTTAAGACATCAGAAATTGCTGTCTCATATCTGGGTGATACAAAAATTCTGAGAACTTAGCTACCTACAGCTTGTTATAGTTGTTAACATACTTCTTTATTTCTTCTTCTAGATGATGATACTCATTCCAGACTGGTGGGATAGTCTCAGATCCTGGTATAAGCCTGGAATGATAGCTTTAATAATAACAATAATGTCCACCCCATTTTCCCCTGAAGGCTGTGATTTTATAAAGAGATTTTAGCGGCATAATCCTCAAGAGGAGTTTTAAAGTGCCATTTTGATGTCATTGGAACCCCAATCTGAAATTGCAGTCTTAATTTATATACTTTTTGGGAATGCATTATTTATTAAATATGGGGTTTTTTTAATTAAAAAAAATCCCCAATTGGCTACCAATCCCTCTCTTCCCCCTACTTAAATATTCCTGTTTAGTGTCTTGGGTCTTTTTCCTTTTTCATCCATTTTCAATGCCAAGCTCACCCTCCATGGTTTGTGATCCTTTCCAAGTTCCTTTTAGCTCAACAGCTGGAATTTTAGAAGATTTACATTCCAGAAGATTGCATAACTTATTATGTGTTTTCCGATGTCTTGTGGCATCAAAAGTAGAACAATTTTTAAAAGGCGAATGCTCCTATTTTAGAAGGCCATAAAGGTTTCCTTAGAAGATACGATAAGAAAAAAATACTCAGTTGTACATAAAGAGGTCCTCCAAAGTGCATTGGGATCTACTAGCTTAGTCAACCATGCCCACATGCAGTCTTGAGTATTTTGGGGGGTGGGGGTGGGGTTAAGATTACATGTGGCTAAATGATGTGTAGAAGGACAATGAGGTTGGCCTAAATGTATGAACCATGTGACCAATATGTGCGTGGTTTATTGTAACCAGAATCTCCAAGGAATTGTTGCTCAAATTCATGTATATTTTGTGGTACATTATTTATGATATGTGAATCTTGATTAGAGCCTGTGGAGCCACGGAAACCTATAGAAAACTTAGTGGCTATTTTAAAAACTGCTAAAAAGCAGTTGCACTGCCCAGAACCACTTTTTTTTTTGCAGATGTATTTTTTTTTCCTAATTAGTTTTTTTAATGTAATTTTGGTGATGTTTCCGCAGATTTTTAAAAATGTACTTTTGGTGATGTTTCTGTCTTGCGTACTTTCTGAAGGCAGAAAAGTACCAGTGGTTGTTTGCAGTCTTATTGTGTAATTGGCCTTTTGCAGGCTTCCATGTATAATAAAGTAATTAACATTGTACAAGTGTAAAACACTTCTGTTACGAAGATGGTGTTAAAAGAACTATGAATTCTTAAATTGTTACAAAATGTTAAAACATACCAGTTTTCTCTTCCCCCTACCCACCAAATCAACCTGAACACTATTTCACCAAATGAACCACCACATTTATTACTAATGCATAATTAATCAAATCCCACTTATTAAAACTTGATATGTACTTGATTATGTATTTTCCATTCTTCAAAATAGTGCTGTTAATTTTCCCTGCCATCTAGGCATAGAGCACAACTTATCAAGGGATGGAGTGTACTTTAACCACTGTGTTGTTCTACTATGGGTTTTTTAATTTGGTTTTTAAGTATTTTGTTCCGCAGCGGTTACGGTTTTATTTTCTTTTATATTGTGTATACTGGATAGTGTGTATGTTCTGGGATTGTTTGCTTTAGACTGTGACCAATTAAAAATGCTATTCACAAAAATCTAAGGAAAGAAGATGTTGTATTATCTATCCAGTTATACCTCTGGCTTTGTTAAGAAAATTCCGTAAAATGTTTTTAAACTAAATTGCTGGAACAATAGAAGGATAACTTGCTTGCTTTTAAAGGTATTTTTATTGTAAAACTTCTTTAGGTGAACAATAAAAACACTCTTTTCGTTACTTTGAGATTTAATTTTTTTTTTTGGTATTCTGTGATGTCTGGGTTGGAAATTTTCTATTTGATGATGTTATTTTGAATTAATGACAGGTTAAATCCAACTTCTGTTCACACAACAAAACTTCCTTTTCTACTCCCTGTACCGACCCCAAATCTGCTCTGGAGGTTTGGGGGCACCCCAGAGCAGATTTGGTATAGGGGCAGGAGAGGGAGGGGAAATTCTGTTGTGTGAGCAAAAGCTATTCTGCTCACACAGTGACTTAGTTGGGAAGAAACCTAGATCAGTTCTAAGTTGGGGTCTAAATTGTGGGGTTCTTCATTTGAATCTTAAGTTGGATCTTTAAGCATGTGCAACTAGGTGAAGTGGGCGTACAACCTTTCTCAGATCCAGCAGCACAGAACTTACTTTTAAAATGTAAAATCCCAGAAAAAGGCAGGGAAGTGAAGAGCTAGATTCAGTTTCACTTGCTTCCCCAGACCCACCATAAAGCTTTTGGAGGTCTTAGTTCTTAGAAAGAGATTCCATGTCTGCAGCTTCAGCTGTTTGGTGCATGCTTCCATTGGATTGGTGTGCACAGGTTTAATGCCCAAATCAAGAATGATGCAACTGGTTATACATGCTCAAGAGATATTGGACTTCTGTTTCTCAAATACACTGGGGAATTTTTTAAAAAGTTGTTTGTGATCCATGATATGGGAAGGGGGTATACTGCAAAAAGTTATTCCAAGCCTGTTTTGGTATGCCTAAAGTAGTACTTACTATCCCACCCAGTTTGCTTTAGTCTGTATATAATAATAATAATAATAATAATAATAATGCTTTTAAAGTGCTTCACATATAGTATCTTGTACTCTTTAAAAACAACCCTCAAGGTTAGGTCAGCGTTGTATTTTTATTCAAAAATATATCCCACCTTTCCATTAAAAACGCTCAAGGTGGTTCCTATAAAATATTAAAGCGATAAAACAACAAAAGAAACTTACTTTTGTATCATGTGACATACAGAAGTAAGATTTGAACTGGGGATTCCATGCTCGATCTTGGTCACTAAAATTACATCAGAGTAAAATGTTTTCTGAAAAGGCTTACTTCCAGAAGCTGGAGTGGCTTAAAGTATTTTTTCTTCAGTATGTTTGAAGTAAAGATTGTAAGTCTGGTTGCAAAAATGGCAAACGATTGCATTATCACAATCAGTGTATGCTCCAAATTCATATAAATGACTACTTCCCAGCTGTTCAGTTGTATTTCAGGATGAAGAGCTGAGCAGAGAACAAAAACAAAATTTTAGAAGAAGAAGATTCACAAGGCTTTTGTAAGGAGCGAAAACAAGTTTATCTGAGCTTTTGAAGAAGACTTTTTCAATAGTTATTTCTCTTCTTTCCCATTCTGTCCAATTTAGAAGATAGACTAGCTGCAGCCTAACTTTGCAGTTATAGGTGGAACTAATAACTCCACAGTCTAATAACTTCACTGCACTGCTTTGTGCTTTGCTCAAAAAGTACCAGAATCAAGGGCAGAATTGCTTTAAATATTTGGACGCTACCTGAAGAGTATATAAATTAGAATAGGCTGGAAAGTAATCTAGTGTGTTCTGCCCTGAGTGAGGTTTAACATTCATTGTTTTACTGGATTTTAGCATCAGCAACCTGGTTGGTTTAAAAGAGGGCAGTCTGTAAGCAACCCAAATTGGAAATGACCTCCTAGGGCCATCAGAGAAGCGGGCCTAAACTAAAATGATTGTTAGCATTTTCGTTCTTGAATGCTAAGAAAGCAGCTTATAAGAAGGCTATGACTGGCCCAACCAGTGGTCTATTCCATAGGTAGGCAAACTAAGGCCTGGGGGCCGGATCCGGCCCAATTGCCTTCTCAATCCAGTCCGCGGACAGTCCGGGAATCGGCATGTTTTTACATGAGTAGAATATGCGTGTTTATTTAAAATGCATCTCTGGGTTATTTGTGGGGCATAGGAATTCGTTCATCCCCCCCCCAATATAGTCCGGCCCCCGAACAAGGTCTGAGAAACAGTGAACCAGCCCCCTGCTGAAAAAGTTGACTGACCCATGGCTATTCTAATGAAGCAGTGTCTGGCAGTGGAAAAACAGATTTCTTTGTGAGCTTCACAGGCAGACCATGGTGACAATATCTATCTGGGATTCCAAAGTATTCAGTGCCTGAAAACTGGATTGCATCTCTGGCTGAGCCAATTAAGATCTTCCATGTATCCATCCGTTCCCCTTTAAAAGCTCTCTGTGTTAGATGACATTGCAACATCTAGTGGCAGTGAGTTCCTTGGTATGATTAATCACCTTCAGCCAATGACTCTGGCTTTTTATATTTTGAGAGTCTGAATAATTGTTCCCCTATTCACTGTGCGGGTTCACAAGGCATATATCCAGTCACCAGATTAATTTTAGTTGCTCCAGCTTCACTGTGCAATATTCTTAATGCAGGCGCACAATGACCTAATAATCATCCCTTGTAGTGTTATACAGTTTGTTTCATCAATTTATTTACTTGTTCTAATCAAAGCAGAATGCTGAAAATGATACAGGGTAAGTTGGAAATGGACCAAAACTTTGTGTAAATATTTTTAAAGGTTTATGTTTTGTTTTAATATTATTTAAGAGAGCTTGTATGCCACTTAATTGTAACTAAAATCTCTAAGTAGTTTACCAAAAAAGTTGTAACTTTAACTTTTAAAACCAAGCAGTCCGTGCTGTTGTTCAAAGTGAATGATAGTTTCTTTTCTGACTTCTTTTCCATCTTCTTGGTCTTCCTTCTCTAACTCCCCTTCTATATATTGCAGCATAAAAATGCTTCACCTGAGTATTCTTAATTAAAAATTTGGCTTTAATATCAATTCCGCGTGATATTAGCCTAGGGGGATTTTAGCTCTGTTACTCATCCCCTGAAAGGTTAGAACCTCTCGTTTTTATGAGATTGCAATCAATTTCTGAGCAGATGAGTTCAAATCTGACTTTTGCAGAGACTCGGGATACATTTGTGCACTGGAGAATGTATTTTTATTTCCATCTTCATTACTATTCAAATCAATTTATTTTTAGTGGTACATGGTAAGCTCAATAAGAATGTTAAAAGGCCAAATATTTTTGTACTATTATGCAGGTGCAGCTAAAGCTTTATGTGGTGAGCTGAAAGCCTGAGTTTCTTCTCATTATAGTGTCAGAAAATCTCCAGTGGAAGAGTGTGCTGAACAAGATTGTCTCTAAGGTCTTGGTTGGCAACTCATTTTTAACCTACTGGCTCACTCCCTTTAGAGACCAGAGAGAGGCAAAAGTTAACCATTTTCTTCCCAGGCTGACCAGCAACAGTGGTCTTGGCAGTGAGTGAATCACTTGCTGTGAGATCCAAGCAAAGGATGGCCTTTGAACAACTGAGCCTCTTAAGGGGGGGAGCCAGGATGCATCTCCATACCAGTTGCTGGGAATTGCAGGTGAGGGGGTACTATTCTGCTCAGGTTCTGCTTGCAGGCATCACATGGCTACTGCGAGAACAGAGCGCTTTTTGGTCTGACGCAGAAGGCCTCCTCTTTTATGTTGCACTTGTAAATGGGAGAAAGAGACTGATGCAGCTCTAGGGAGAGATGGGGAGGCACATGCAGATATATATGTGGGGGGCTGGCTGGAAGGACACCATTTACCGACTTCTTGCTTAGACACACAAAGTGTAGATCTGCTGAGTGTTTGTGCTTGTTCCTCAGTAAAGTAGACTTTTACGATCCTAGCAGGGTTAATCTGCATGCAAAAACCTTTCCCTAGACACTGGATAGCTCAGCTGATTAGAGCATGGTGCTGGTAACGCCAAGGCCACAGGTTTGATCCCCATATCAGGCAGCTGCATATTCCTGCACTGGACATTTTAAAGCAGAGGTTGGATGGCCATCTGTCACGGACACTTTGGTTGAGATTCCTGCATTGCAGAGGGGTTGGACTAGATGATCCTTAGGGCCCAACTCTACAATTCAGCGATTGATTCAATTATCAGTATCATTGGGTAAATTAGGTAATGTTTTGCGTTTCATTTCTTTCAATACAGGGTGCCCTTGGGTAAAGTGCTTCCTGGAGAGCCACTTCATCAGTGGATCCCAGTGGGCAGCAGCAGCGTTCTCAGAGTTGCATCAGGGGCAGTGTTGGAGATTAAAATGGTGGCTGCACCTAGCTGCCTAGCATTGCACAGAGAGCAGGTCTAGATAGCTTTCCATAAAGAGGGAGCCTGGGCAGGCATCAGTGGTCGACTCCAGCAGCTGCCCAATGATGCTAAATGCTGATCTCAGCCCTATTTCAAAAGTCTGCTGGTAGTTATTTATTTATTAAAAAAATATATTTATGTACCACTCTATCATAGAAATATATCAAACTGGTTTACTGCAATATAAAACCATGTAGTAAAACCATACAGAAAAGCTAGCAAAAGAATTAAAAACAAGCAACAGTAGACCGTTTTGGTGGATGCACTCTTAATTGCCTGCACAGACTTGGTGGAATAGAAAAGTTTTCAGCAGGCGTTGAAATGTTTGCCTACTGAATCTCTCTTGGCAGGGTGTCCCATAGGACTGGCTCAGTTTCTCTTGTAAAATGAGCCTCACCAACTCTGGGACCAGCCAGAGGCTCCTGCAGATGATCTCAATGATCAAAGTGGGATATAAGGGTTCAGGCACACCTTGCAAGAGCAGTTTGCACGTTCAGGTAGTTAAACCTTATTTTCACAAGACTGAACTGCCTAGATGCATCTGTTGATGCAGACTGGAATGTGTTTCCATATTTGCAAGTGAAGAGAGATTAGTCGCTTACTTCTAAAGCTGAACCATGGCCGCTGTTAACAGTGAAATAAAAATTTCCCTGTTCTCAGACTGATTTTGTACATTGTATACTTGATACTTCTCTATAAAAGTAAAACCTATGGGGAATGGTGTGTGAGAGAGAGTTTGGAGAATGTAAAAATCCTCCCCTTACTCTAATCATATAGATGACAGGAACAGTTTCATGTGATTTTTGTAATTTTAATTTCGTCTCCCCTGAATGTAATTTAAAATTTTATACACACAACTGTTTTGGTCATTAGTATTCTTTTCTTTGAATCTAAAGTGTAACGGTCTTTCTATGAATGATTGTGCAGTCATGCCACAGCTGAGGTGAAGATTTAGCTTCAAATAAATCATTTCCACATTCTTGCTTAAGTGGCTATTTTAGAGTAGGGAAACACATTTTCTATTGGGATGTAATGCTGCAATTTCCTTGACCTAAGGTCTGAACAATTTTTGAGCAATGTAGGTTTAGTAGTTTAACAACAACAAAAAAGAAATATATATATAAATGAAAGAAGAAGGAAAAAAAGGTAAATAAAAGTACCAAAATCTGTGGAACTAAAACCAAATGAATTAATTATCTTTTAAAAATTATTTTGACAGATGGGAAGTTACACACATAACTTTATGAAAACAAGGAGCAATAAAGTATGAGTCTAAGGGCCACTTATATTATATATTAGGTGTATACCTATTGTTATCAGGGAACAGCGATTCGCTAGAGCTGTTTACTTAGCATATTTAAAAGCATCTTAGTCCAGTCTTTGATTCCTAAATTCTGATTCAACAGTGCCCAGCCAATGAGCTCTAAGCAGCACATCATAATAGCATGAAGGCAATATGCTTTTTATTCGTTTTGATTGTATTCAGTAAAGTCCTACTCAGAGTATACCGACTGGAATTAATGAGCCTAAGTTAGGTAAAGGTAAAGGGACCCCTGACCATTAGGTCCAGTCGTGACCGACTCAAGGGTTGCGGCGCTCATCTCGCTTTACTGGCTGAGGGAGCCGGCGTTTGTCCACAGATAGCTTCCGGGTCATATGGCCAGCATGACTAAGCCGCTTCTGGCGCACCAGAGCAGCGCACGGAAACGCCGTTTACCTTCCCGCCAGAGCTGTACCTATTTATCTACTTGCACTTTGACATGCTTTCGAACTGCTAGGTGGGCAGGAGCTGGGACCGAGCTACGGGAGCTCACCCCGTCACGGGGATTTGAACCGCCAACCTTAGTCATGTCCAATAACTTCAGTGGGTCTCCAGTGTTGATTACCACTTTCTGTTACAGCATCAGGGGCACATTGCCTCTGAACATGGAAGTTCCATTTCACTGTCATGGCTAATTGCCACAATAAACCTGTTTCCTCCCCTCTGTGTAACGTGTAACACGTGAAGAAACATATTCTTCATTGTGGGGGGAAATAGAGTTACTACTGGTTGTAAAGGTAAAGGTAAAGGGACCGCTGACCATTAGGTCCAGTCGTGGCCGACTCAAGGGTTGCGGGGCTCATCTCACTTTATTGGCCGAGGGAGCTGGTGTACAGCTTCTGGGTCATGTGGCCAGCATGACAAAGCCGCTTCTGACGAACCAGAGCAGCGCACGGAAATGCCGTTTACCTTCCCGCAGGAGCGGTACCTATTTATCTACTTGCACTTTGACGTGCTTTCGAACTGCTAGGTGGGCAGGAACTGGGACCGAGCAACGGGAGCTCACCCCGTCGCAGGGATTCAAACCGCCGACCTTCTGATCAGCAAGTCCTAGGCTCTGTGGTTTAACCCACAGCGCCACCCACGTCCATATTCTATTATAGTATTTGCCAAAATCATAATCCATTGCATAGTTGCAGATACACATGGCCAGCTGACAGTAACGTCTTGCTGATGGGTTTCCCATAGGCTTCTGGTTAGCCACTGTAGGAACAAAATGCTAGGCTAGATAGTACCATGGTTGCTGTGCTTATACCCTGCAGACTTTTCCTGTATGGAGCACATAAAATGGGAAAGGAAGAGAACTATTCCCAAACACTCAAAGGACAGATGGATGCCAACAATTCTGGGCAGTTGCAATTGAGCCACAAATCCTGGGCACATGTCCATCACATGTATGGAAATGAGCACATTGCCCTTTCACACTTACTACGTTTTGCAACCAGAATTGCGTGTGGAGGAAGAAAGGGAGAAATCATTCTTTTGCAACTATTCATGTCCGTAAGGGGATGATGTGGGGCTAGTAAGGTAAAGGTAAAGGTACCCCTGCCCGTATGGGCCAGTCTTGACAGACTCTAGGGTTGTGTGCTCATCTCACTCTGGAGGCCGGGAGCCAGCACTGTCCGCAGACACTTCCGGGTCACGTGGCCAGCGTGACGAAGCTGTGGGGCTAGCCATTAACTAATAAAATTTCAGAATATTCTAGGATTAAATGGTGACTCTGTTTTTACTGTTTTACTCTGTGTTTACTGTTTTAACTGCTTTTGAACATAAGAGACCTGCTGGATTACAGTGGTACCTCAGGTTACATACACTTCAGGTTACGTATGCTTCAGGTTACAGACTCCGCTAACCCAGAAATACTACCTCGGATTAAGAACTTTGCTTCAGGATGAGATCAGAAATCGTGCTCCAGCGGCACAGCAGCAGCAGGAGGCCCCATTAGCTAAAGTGGTGCTTCAGGTTAAGAACAGTTTCAGGTTAAGAATGGACCTCCGGAATGAATTAAGTACTTAACCTGAGGTACCACTGTATCTAGTTCTGCACCCTGTTCTCACAGTGGCCAGCTAGATGCCTATGGGAAACCCACAAGCGGCACCTGAAAGCAGCAGCTCTTTCCACACTTGTGGACTCCGAGCAACTGATATAAAGTGGAATTCTGTTCACAGATCTTTTGGGATCCATCCAACCCGAAAACCTTTCAACAGTAACACTTCGGTGGTGAATTGCATGATGAGGTAACAAGTGATACGGAGTCCTATATGGATGAAATTTGAATGTGGAAGAGAACAGTGTGAGAGTCTGCTATTTATTGCATGTGGATTAATCTTAAAAGGAGGACACTGGTGCCAAATTAAGTCAAGTTCAGTATCTTGATGTCAAGTAATCTGTACTAAGAAGTGGGGGGGCGGGAACAAGTTATTTGATGAGATCAATTCACAGCTATATCACTGGGGCAGCATTTTTGCAGCCACTTGACTTTGTTGAGATGGAAGGAGTTGGAAGTGGACAAAGTGATTCCACCCTAACAGCAAACATAAGCAATTTGCTTGCTTTCCAAACAGCTTAAAATAAACAAATAAATAGATCAAATCACTAAAACCCTTGTAATGGCTGTCAGGCAAGCTGATTATCTTTTCAGCAGTCTTTTATTAAGTTAATACCTACAGATGCTCCCTCGGCTGATGCCAACAGGTAATCTATTCTGGAAGATGCTTGTTCAATGACTTTTGATGGCTGCTGGTTGCTGGCCACATGTACTGAACACAGAGGTTGAGTGTTTCGTCTATATGTAAGTGTGGGTGACTAGAGAGAAAAATCAGCATAGGTAGGTAGCTAACAAAGGGAAAGGAAGTTTTGGGTTTTGTGGTTGGCTTGATGTTGCCTTGCCTTTTTTTAAAAAAGGGGGGACGTGATTTAAAAAATACTAACGATATGTCTGTTGGTTTGCCTGCTTCCCCAAGTACCGTAACTCACGTATTTGTAAAAGGCACAAGTCTCCTGTTCTTTCACCTCATGAGGAAGTTTGCCCTGTGAAAGGCAGCACCCATGAAAATTCCTTTTGTTTGGGGAAGGGGGAACTGAGGGGGGAAACTATCAAAACTGCGCTGATTGTGAGAAGAAATACCACATAAATTATTTCTTGGAAAATGCTTAGTGACACTTAGAATTGATTAACATTTCGGTGCTTTCTTTTGTTCTCATTCAAGGGGGAATCTTTTCAAGGCACCCTATTCAGGCTAAATGTAAAACTTTCAAAATGCCTTGGCCTTGAAAAGCACAGAGATACATGAGGATGGATACATCAGCGGGAAATGGTTTAAAAATATGTCAGCGTAAGTCCCCCCACCCCACCCTAGCCAAGTAGATTGTAAGTCTGCCAGTTTATCAACAAATAAAGATACAATATTGTTTAGTGCTACCTACTTCTCAAATCACAAAAGTGGTTTTTGTGAGGGCTAGACAATACAGAGCAAGAAAGTATGTTTAAAGATGCATTTTTTCGCCAGATTTTTTCTGACGAAGAACAATGCGTTGCTATGATTTTATAATTATGTTTTAAACTTCATGAGCTTAGTGAAATAAATTATGTGGCTTTGCTAGATCTTAAATAGTTTTGTTCCACTTTGGAACCACAGCTGGAAGAAATTAGGAAGACATATATTTTGTTTTTCTTTCAAGAGAAAGAAAAAATTATGAAATTACTTTCTGATCCTATGCATGTTTACACTGAGTTCGGTGGTACTTATTCCCAATTAAATGTGTATAGGATTGCAGCTTTAATTTCACTACGCCTCTGCTA